CTCTCTCTCTCTCTCTCTCTCTCTCTCTCTCTCTCTCTCTCTCTCTCTCTCTCTCTGTGTGTGTCTCACTCTCCCGCTCCCTCCCTCCCGCTCTTATCACACGCACACGTACGCACAACACGTTCACCGCAACACACACCTGGGCAGAGAGAGGAGCGCGCCGCGGCAGCCGAAGCAGCCACCATAAGCCGCTCCGTCTCCGTCGCCATCGCGGAAGTTACCGACTCGCGGCTGCGGAAGTGGAAGAAAACCGGCCGGGTGGAGTTGCACGGGGGGGGCGCGGCCGGGGGGGCAGCAGCGGGGGGCGAGGGGCGGGGGGGGGGTACAACCGTGGGAGGCGGCATGGGTGGCATCGAGGCGCGGATGTCGCTTTCGGACGTGAAGCTGCTTTCCAGCATGGCGAGGTGTGTGTGCTGTCCTGTGTGGCGTTCGTCGGGGTTGGCGGGGATGGCATGTCCGTGCGTGGGTATAGTTGTTTCGCCTTGTCGGGCGCTTGGTGCTTGTGCCGGTGTCCTTGCCCGGCCGGCTCGCACAGAGGAAGGGGAGGTTTACGTTCACGAACGCGCTTCGAACACCTCGCAGCCTGCTAAGGGCCAGGTCATGGGTTCGAGTCCCGGCAAAGAGAGTTTTTTTCTCACTAAATAAATCCTGGTCTAGGATGAAAGCGACGCGCTGCAAAGCTCGTTTGGTAGTAAACCATGATCGACTTCGTAAGTCGCGAGGGAAGGGATTGCTGTACCCTTCTCGCGATAAAAATACCTCAGGCATGAACCGCAGGAGGGGGTCCAACCCCCCCCTCCTATGTGACCCCGGTTGGGTCGTCGTCTAGCTAGTAGAAGTGGAGGATAGGGGCCAGAGGGGCAGACGACAGAGTCCAATGATGGGAGAAAAACAAACGAAAAACAAACAAAAAACCTCCGTGCTGCTTCCGGTTCATGTGGGCACGACGTTGTGGTGGCACTGACCCCCTCCCGACCAAAGTTGGCGCCCAGCCCGGTGGCGTTGCATGGTTTCGACACAGAGGCCCCCCTTGGCGATGGTCTATAGCGTGCGCGTTTTTTAGCCTCCCGCTCCCTCATCAACGCCTCCATTCCGCCCTTTTTGAACAGAAGGTGCAAATACAATCGAAGAGAAAGACGACCCCCGTAGGAGGCATTAGCGCAGATAGTCGAAGGGGATGTGTTGAAGTCCCGCGGAGTGAGCGAGAAGGACATATCTAGAAGAGAAGCTGGTGGATACTGGGCCCATTTTTTATAGAGTGCTCATTTCGAGTCTTTTTTATATCCCACACCTGTCTACAACCTCCGTAACCTCGGAACGGCGTGCCTTCAACCAGGAGCATGCACGGCGCGGTGCGGGTGACGAGGGCGGCCACGGCCATCAAGGCCCTCCGACACTCCCACCGGCAGGAGATGCTGGCCTTCGCGAGGGCGAGGAGGGACCGCAACCCGCTCACCGTCGAGGGGTACGCCTTCGCTAACCCGACGCATGCCGTGACCGTCACGGGGCCCCACGCGGAACTCCCGGTCCAGGTATGCCTGTTTCGGATCTTCTTGCTGCTGTTGTCGTTGTCGTTGTCGTTGTCGTTATTGCTTTTGCTTGTCCGAAAATTCTTCCCTGATCTGCCAGAGAGGGAGCTACAGTTTCGATGTACTGATGCATTCCAGAACGTGCGCGATTCTTCGAGTGTCGGTGTGCTTGCCTTCTGCGCCCTGGTTCCTGCCTGAGCGACACTGGCACTAGTTTAGAATAGCGATGCACAGACACACACGCATTTTGTTGAAGCGCTCATGCCTTTTTGGTTTGCTAGAGTCGGGCGGGCCAAACGCCTCGCACCTGCAAGAGCGACCCTCTGAACATTCTCTCTTTGTTGTCTTCGTTTTTCTACATGCAGGTGTCGATGCTTCAGGCGGGCGCGGGCTTGCCCGACCTGCGGCTAGGCCTCGTCAGCAACGCTCTCGGAGTACCCCTGTTCCACCTGGACGTGCGGCAGCTGCAGGCGGCGCTTCGGCACGAGGCTGGCCGGTACCTCGACGCCACGGTTTCCGCCACAGTGGGCGCTGGCTACTTCAACCAGGCAAGCCGACCTGTTTTGTTTTGTTTCTTGTGGCGGCTTGTTCTTGTGCGGTACGGTAGGCATGGTAATGGTTTGCGGTGTTGCATACGTGTTCGTGAAATGTAAGGAGGACGGCGTGTCTTCTCGTCGATTTTCGTGCTCATGTGTCATTCTTGCCGTCGCTTCGATTTCTGCGTTTCTTGTTGAGTTGGACTCGCGGGCGAAACGGAGAGTAAACAGGACCCCCCGCTCCCAACTCCGACTCCAGTTTCCGATTTCGAAATGTAGATGGCATGACTGTGGTAGACAGGACGTTTTGGACACGCGGCGTTCAGCCTCGCCCCTTTTGGTTTACATGCCTGAGACTACGTGCGAGGTCAATGGTCCAACGACGACGGCATGCACGACTATGAGTAC